ACAGGTTGACTCAGCCACCTGCTCTAATATCTCTGATCACTTCCTAGTGACTTTCTCTATCAACATTGCCAACCAATATGTAAAACCTCTGAAGCATACAATTTACCACTACTCCAAAGCTGATCTTGATGGTCTTTGTTCCTACTTGGTCAGTTTGTCATTGCCCCCTGTAAACATAAACTCTATGTGGTCCGTCCTGAGAGATACGCTTCTAAATGCAAGATCGAAGTTCATTCCTTCTACCCGTTCCCTGTCTAGAAATGTCCCTCCGTGGTTCACTTCAGACATTTCTCACTCTTTAAAGTGTATCCGCACTCTACGCAGGAGGTACCATCTCCACCCTACAGACTCTTTGTTATCTCGTATCACTCAGAGAGAGTCACATCTAGCTATGAGAATTGCCTCAGCTAAATCGGAATATGAGGCTACCCTGGTTACTGCTTTCTACCACAGCCCCCAATTGTTATATCGTCACCTGAGGAGGTTTACTAGTTCTCCTCCCATACCTGAGTCTGTTTCCTATAATGGTATAACGTCTGTTGATGCTTGTTCTAAAGTTAACCTATTTAACTTGTATTTCAACTCTGTGTTTACTTCTACTGATTTTCTTCTTCCCCCGATGGACCAACTTCCTACCCCCTCTAAGCAGCTATCATCTATTAACATCTCTTGTGAGGATGTGTATCTGGCTCTGATGTCACTCAACCCAAGCAAGGCTTTTGGTTGTGACCAACTTAGCCCTTGTTTTATCAAACTTTGTGCTGGTTCCATTGTACAATCCGTCACCAGTCTTTTTCAGGAGTCCACCATGTACGGCCATGTCCCAGATGAATGGAAAATCCACAAGATAACCCCAGTCTTTAAGGCTGGTGATAGACACTGTGTTAGTAACTACAGACCCATTTCATTATTATGCATACTATCTAAGGTCCTGGAATCTATCATCTACAATAAAGTTATTCCTTTTATCAGGGGCCTGTTGTGTCGAAATCAATTTGGATTCCTCAGTAATCGTTCTGCAGTATCTCAGCTCCTGTCATCTTTCTCTACTATAATGAGTCACTGTGAGAAGGGGAACTCTGTTGACCAAGTATATTTCGATTTTCGTAAAGCTTTTGATTCGGTTCCACACTCCATTCTTCTATTCAAACTTTGGCGCCTGGGTATCACTGGTCCTTTGTGGTGCTGGTTTAGGGATTACCTGGCCCATCGTCAGCACTATGTATGTATTGATGGTTGTTCCTCATCTCTTCTACCAGTAAGATCGGGAGTCCCTCAGGGGAGTATCTTGGGGCCCCTTCTGTTCCTCGTGTTTATCAATGATGTTCCCAGTGTCATAAACCACTCTGACCTGTATCTCTTCGCTGACGATTCCAAGCTGCAGCAGGTTTCATCATCCTCTTACCACCTACAGGAAGATATTAATTCCCTGGCAGCTTGGTCTGAAGACAACTCTCTCCTCCTGAACTCACGTAAGTGTGCAGTTGTTCGATTCTCTTTTTCCACTGTAACCTCTCTCCCTCTATATGAGATTGATGGTACAACTATACCAACCCTAGAATCCCACAGAGATCTTGGTCTTATGGTAAGGAGTGACCTCTCCTGGAGCGACCACTATAGACACATCAGTTCAAAAGCATATGCCTCCCTCTACCTGATTAAAAGATCCTTCTCAACAGTGGATGTGACTGTAAAGAAAAGACTGTATATTTCCCTAGTTCGGTCCAAACTAGCATACTGTTCCCAACTGTGGAGACCTAATCTAAAGAAAGACATAATGCTATTAGAGAGAATCCAACGGCGAGCCACCAAATACATACTGGGTGATTACTCCTCCTCCTATAAAGAACGACTCCAATTGTTAGACATGCTTCCACTCATGTATTGGCTAGAGTTGAATGACATCATGTACTTTATCAATGCTATCAAATATCCTTCTGACAACGTATCCATTCAACAATATGTATCTTTCAGTAATCTTTCAACTCGGTCTTCTGTCAAACATAAACTTAAACACAACTTCTGTCGAACAACTAAGTCACATCACTTCTATTTCAACAGACTTGTCCGTCTTTGGAACAAACTACCTGCGATAGACATCACCAGGTCACTTCCTTCAATCAAGCGTGAAATCACCAACCATCTCAGGAACCACTTCCAGTACAATTTCGATTCTAACAATTCATGTTCATTCCACTTCCTTTGTCCCTGCTGCTCATGCAATTAATTAAATTAAATTTGGATCACTAATAAATTAAGTTAATTTTTGTAATTTTGTTTTGTGTGTATATGTAATCTGTATCTCTTCCTCTCTCATCCTCTTCCTCTATCACCCTATCCTCTCTAAACTTCTCAGGCTACTCCAGTACTTGGTGTTAGTCCCTCAACACATCTAATTCACCTGTTTTCCTCCCTGTCTCTGTCTCTATATGTTCTATGTGTTGTAAAGTGTTATAATAATAATAAATAATAATAATAATAAATAATAATAATAATAATAATGTATTGTACATTGTGTTAGTAATGTACTGATACAATGTATATACATGATAGTGCCGGTACTGTTGGTTAATGTGTGTGGGTAGATCTACATGTACATATATATGATTCAATTGATGTAGTTAGTTTGGGAATTGTCCCAAATTTCAGATATAATGCTTTTATCATGTCTTGTACGGTACATGTACATACAGTGTACTGTATTATGCTATGCATAGCTAATGGCCTCAGAGTTATTTTTGCTTTGAGACAATAAATTTTCCATATTCATTCAGCCACTATATACCTACCATCAATGATCCATTGGGAGTGATACATTAATTTTAGCAAGAGTACATAATTTACAGAGAGTGTCTAACCGCACTATAGTAGCTGAAACATGACCGCGTAGAACTAAGTCACGTGAGACCAAAAGCGTGGACGGTGTACTTACTAAAAAACACGTGTAGAAGTTAACATAAAAACAGTGGAGAAAACTTGAAGAAGCTTTAGACATCATACTAGTACACTTTATAATGCTGCTGAAGTCTGATATGCAGTACTGCTATAGCAGAGGCACCAAAACAGCCAGTAAACCTTGTTGAGCAAACTTGGCAGCCATTTTTCTTACTCAGCCACACCCAGTATGCGGGA